CTTCTCTCTAGAAAACCCTCTCAAACACCAAAATACTTTGATTCTTGCAAATCTTGAGTCAAGATCATTATCATGTACCTCTAATTTTGAAGATCAAGAACTAGGGTTTCACTTGGTGTGGTGGAAATCCAAGATCCTCTCATCCTTTGACTCTAGGGTTTCATCATTCTTCTTCATCAAACATTGAGGTAAGGAATTCTTGAGTCATATATATATGTTTTGCGACATGAATGTTGATTTTAAAGCTTCCATGAGGTAGTTGTGTTGATTTTAATCTTGCACTAAATGAAGAGAGAGAAAGAGAGTTTTTGAAGGATGGGTTTTTAAAATCTCAACTCTTTTGTTCTTCCTAGAGGGCTTTCCTTTCATTTGACTTATGAAATGTGATTTTGGGTTGGGTTCCACTATGAAGTGGACAAATGTTGGATTTTTGACGAAAACTCTAGAAATTGGGGATTTTGGAAAAGATGGGAATGTCTATGGTATTTTTATTTTTCTTGTGTTAAAAAGAATAGATGAGTGTAGACTTCATGGATGTTTTGGAAAAATGGCCATCTCATGATATGTATATTGAAATGGAGAACTTTGTTTCAAAGGCTCTAGTTAAATACATGATGATATAATGTTGTGAGATGACAAAATTGTTGTGCACTATGGATTGTGTGAATCATGGATAATGGAGAAAATATCACATGTGGCCTTGAAAGGATTAAATTGATTAGAATTGTGTATGATGGGAAATTGTTATTGTGTGTTGAAGGCACATGGTTATTTTGTGTGAAACAACGTTAAAGGGAGGAAATGAGAAATGGATTTGTTTTGTCATTGTTGTTAAGACATTTGAAATTGGAAAAGTGTTATGAGACATGGAAAGATCATGGCATTGCATTTTCATTCTATTATTATTTTTGCATTGTAAATTTCGATTAAAAATATTTACTTCATGAAAGAAAATGATGTTGTAATGAGAACTATGGAAATGTGGTATGGGGTAAATACGTGGTAAGTTCGGATAGGGGGTATAGTTAATCTTGATAAGTTGGCTTGAGTGTCCATGGTGAAAGACCAGAAAATCGCGCGGATAGGTGTCGAGCCTTCCGGTTAATACCAGTAAAAATGACAGTTGCGTAGTACTTATAGAGTCTCTTTGCAAACACCAGCCTAGGGATTACCAGTGTCGTATTTACCACCCTTATTGATTTAAACATTGGAAGTTTTGAAATTGATGAGATTGAAAAACTGTATTGAGAACATAGTGATTTTCAAATCATGCATTGAAATGAAATTTCCTTTCATTTTTGGCATAGCATGACCATTAGCATTTTATTGAGTTATGGCATAACTGTATATACTTTGTTAGAATTCTCTACTGGGCTTTATGCTCACCCCTATGAGATTTGGTGCAGGTAAAGATGTGGTGATCCCGCCGAACTGAGGGCGTGGATATTTTTGTGAAGAGTGAATGGCTCTTTTATTTTTTATTTAAATTTTGTAAAGCCAAGGGCTAAACGTGTATGGGTTCGAGAGACCATTTTTGTGTAACTGGGCTATTGCCTTGGAAGATGTAAGCCCTTAAGGGCATTTACTTTTTAAGATTTACATACTTCACATGATGTAGATTCATGAGTTTTCTTACTAGTGAATGTATAACTTGCATGTGAAACCTTTGTAATATCTTTCTATTTAATCATGTAAAGATGGAAGAATCATTGTCATTATTGAATGAATGTTCATTAATGTGGGTAGTTCATGTTGAATTATTTCGGGGCGTTACAAAGTGTAATACATACACACAACTAATGAACACAACAATGTCATCCTCCACCGATGACCAAGGACAAAACCTCTAAGCAACACGTATTCAACTTACACATTAATAACAATAATTCACATGAAACTTTAGATCCTATTACAACAATAATGAAATTAAATATTTGTGATTAAATCCCAAGTTAATTTCCGAAACTCACACAATGTTAGCATTTCATTCTTCCATTGCAAAATCAATTGTCTTTTCCTTCTACATTAATCTTCTCCACCCTTTGCCTCAATTCATTTAGTTTCTTTTCACAAGGGAGTATGACCAACTCACATTCTTTCATTTTAGATAAAGGAATTTCAATTATGGCTAACAAAGTTAATATTTACCCAATTTCTGTTTAACGGTAGTGTAACCCAATGATATTCTAATCTCATGTCAATTCCCTTTTTATCAATTTACGTATTACCAATTTACCACAAACAACTTTGAACAACACAACATCAAGTCAATGTTAAAGATTCAAGAGGCTCCAATTAATCTCAAATAAATCACAATTCATCATTTAACTCCCTAAATTCATAATATATTTATTCCACCATTAAAACCCTTTTTGTTAAATGAGCATCATAATTAAAAATTAGGGCTTCACCTCCCTCCAAACATAAACATGCTAGTCCACCTTCCAAAATACACCCCACAACAATAAATACCCCAAATCTCAACCTTACACAACCCACCTTAGATCCCCATTCATGATTTTCAAAAGAAATCCAAAACAAGATGGTTTTTATGCAATATGAACATACCACATGTCTATCTATAGGTGAAGCATTGAAGAAAATCAAGGAAATCCCTACCTCAAGAGAGAAGAGGGGAAAAAGCCCAAAAATCGACCTCGCCGAAATACGATCTCCACCAGTCAAGATGAGGTCCGCGACACACTCATCATTTTGGTATAAGGGACTAGCATCAAAATCCCAATGGATTTTTGGGATCAAAAGAAAATATAATGTTTTGTGTGTTTGGGTAGAGAGAGATGAGAGAAAAATAGAGAATATGTTGTAGAGAGAGAGTGATATAATCTGAAATGGAAGGAAAATGAGGAAAAATGCAAAATATAGTTGAAAGGCACGGAAAACGAAGCTGAAAACGCGCCTAGCCGCACGTGCAGCGCCCCCTCCCACATGTGCGGAGCGCCTCTCCCGCACGTGCGGCGCGCCTCTCCCGCACGTGCAGCTCTCACCCCTGCACGTGCGGGCTCCCCCGCACCACACTTCTGCACCTGTCTTTTAGGCAGTATGCACACAGCATAAACCCCCTCTTCCCGCATGTGCGGCCTGGCCTCCCGCATGTGCGGTCCCTCTCCCGCACGTGCGGTCCCTCTCCCGCACGTGCGGTCCCTCTCCCGCACGTGTCTGCCAAGGCTCCCTACGTGCGGCCCTAGCCCCCAGCCCGGAAAAATCCTCGACTTCATTCCCCAACACCCCAGAGCCGACCCCCCACCCTCCGAAACGAGTGAAAACTTTGACTCAAGGTAACCACAACATAAAATATTTAAGAAAGAATTCTCAATAATAACTTACCCGACACAACTCAAAGGAAACGGGACGGCTTTCGAACCGGTCATCACACAAGTCAATTGAGTGTGTGGGAAGAAAGTTGGGTTAAAATAGCTCATTAAAATATAAAATAAGTTAAAATAATTAATAAAAAAATGCCACATCCAACTTTGATCATTTTATTTTTTGTCTCACAACCATCAAATCAATTATAAAAAAAAATCAACCAGCTTTCTAAACACAATTATTTTATCTAAACTAAAATAATCAAAAAAAAAACCAAATAACCAACTTCCCAAACAATATTAGATTGAATCTGCCCACCACGCTTCCGGCCACTCTGATTCGATATTAAAAGAAGTAGGATAAATTATAAATACATTCTTGAGATTTGATTAAAATACGAATTGTCCCTGTAGTTTTGAAAATTACATTCCACCCCTGAGATTTCTAATTTCATAACAAATCGGCCCTTTTATTAAGTCAATTAACTATTTTTAATGATGTTAGAAATATGTTTCAATTAATAATTTAGGTAATTTTATTATTGTATAGGAGAGCAATTATGAATTTCATTTTTTTAGTTATTTCTGTTAAATAAAAAATTCTAATAAGAGGGTATTTGTAATTTTCTAAACCACAGTGGACAATCAATATTTTAAGCAAATCTCAGGGGGTGTATTTGTAATTTACCCTAAAAAGTATAAATAAATAATATATATTCATAATATTTAAACTAAACCATCAATACATCTTACATACATATCCCTACGTGGTGTTTAATAAATCTAAAATTTAAAATTAAATACTAAAAAATTGAATGTTAAATTTTTTTAAGTTAAAAGATTATTTGATAAAAAATTAAATGTTGAATTAAAAATAAATTATTTGATATATGTAAGATAAAATTTAAAATTTATTATTTTTGAAGTATATATTTTAATTTTTATATTGTGACTGTGGTGGTGGAGTGGCATAGTGGTGGTAGTAGCAGTGGTAGTAATGGCGGTGGTGTGATGGTGGTAGTGTTAGCGATGATAGTAGTAGTAAAATGATAGTGATGTTCATGGCAATAATCACAATGGTGATGAAGGTGGAGGTAGTAGTGGTGGCGGCAACAGCGATGGCATGATAGTGGCAACGATAGTGGTAGTCGTAGAGGTAGAGGTAGCGGTGGCATAATGGTGGTGGTAGTGATAATGGTAGTAATGGTAGTAGTGGTGACATGATGGTAATGGTTGTGATGATGATAGTGGTAGTAATGGCGGTGGCATGGTGATAGTGATGGTGGCAACATGATGGTTGTGTGGATGGTAGTAGTAGTGATAACGGTGATGTTAGTGAATTTATAATAGTATGTATCGATATTTATGTTTAATATTTATAAATTCAGTCAGAATTAAAAAAAAAAAATTTACCTGGCTTAAAATTTTCTTAAATTTTAACTTACATTTTAAAAGACTTAAATTTTTAAGTGATATCAATTATGATTATCAAATGAGGTTAATTAATTATCACTTAATCAATTTAGTTTTAAGTGCTGAATCATGTTATCAAACACTTTGTAAGAAGAGAATCGATACTTTGCTTTTTCACTTTCCAATTGTTTATATTACAATTTTTTTTTTATGGCCAAAAAAAATAATAAATAAAAATTAAATATTGATGCTAATGTGAAGTACCAAAGAGGTCCATGATAACAGACTTTTTGCTCATTATAATATGCACTTTGTGAACAATGAAATGAATCAAAGATTTGTTTAGTTGAAAATAAAAAATTAAACGATTACAAGTTTAAATAAGCAAGGGTTGTTCTCCTTCAAGCTCAGATATTACAATCAACGAATCTGTCAATTCAAGGGACAGAGGCTCAGACTTGGGCATTGGATTTATAACCTGAAAATATTAAAACAAGAGAGGCAATAAATGAAAAAGAAATGAAAAGAAAACAGCATAAGAGAGATCTCTATCTCCCAAGCATCTCTCAAATTTGAATACTCTCAAACTAGAAGGCATAAATTACCTTCGTATTGTTCTTCATGTAACCAATGGCAACTTCTCGTCGCAAATATGCTCTTTCAGACAGCTCAGCAAAAGAAGGATTCTCTCCCTTCTGCATGTAGAAGCCGATATCCTATAATAATAATAATAATAATTATAAATTTTATTTAATTTGTTTACTAGAACTTTTAAAATATTAAATAAATAGAATATTAATAAATATTACATAAATTTATTTTAATTTGTAATTGAGATTTTTAAATTTTATTTATACTTTATTAAGTATAATTAATACCACGAATGCACCAAATATGAATTTTTTTTTTTGACTTCATGCCTAATTCTAGTAGATCAGGACAAGGTAGCAATTGTGATAATAACATAGCGAAGGTACTTAAAACTGTTATGTTTCAGAAATCTGAAAACACAATTTTTTCAAGTGTTCAACTAAACATCTAGCTAGACTGGCATATCCAACAATGCCCCAAAGTTCTTTTTATACAAAATGATAACCTCTTCTTTTTTTTTTTCTTTTTTTTTTTTTTTTTTTTATTTTTTTGTAGAGGTAGACAAATATATCGCGTCACATTGAACATAAAAAATTATCAGTAGTTGATGTTAAAGCTTTGGCAATATATTTAATTATTTGGCAATATAAACACCATAAAGGCAATATATACAATTTCAATTATTCAATTATTCAATTAGGTGACAATATAAACACCATAAAGGTTGTGTTTCTCAACATGTATCCCAAAAGGAAACAAAGTTTAATTGAGAGGGGGGAAAATAGAAAAAGAAAAAGAGCTAATAAGGACACTTCACAATGTCTATTATGATCCTAACTCTAAAGCAAAGATACTATACAAAGCTAACCACAGAAACAATATATAAAAAGCATCCCAATTATAGTTAACAAAATACGGGTGCTTGTACACAAAAGAAGCAATAATTAAGTCTATCAACAAGTTTATAATAGACTTAACAAAAAGCATTCCCTACCATGCATATCAAATCATGGCCAAAAAGAAAATACTCCAATGAAATGCAACAAGTTTATTATGAAGCGTGCCTACTTAGCAACCTCATCACCCACCTTAGCCTATCATCATGTGTCAAGCTGAAGAACATGTCAAGCTTTTGGACATCGTGGGATATGATTTCACAAGCATCTAACCTTTCATCTACAGTAATTGGCAACTTCGTAAGTTCATCATTTAGTGATGCCCGTTTAGATGCAAGATCATGTGAGTACCCCATTCTTTTTCCAATGAATTCTAGCTTATCATTGGTTCCCAAGACATCCACCAACTTGTCAGCAAACATGGTCAGCCCTTCAACTACTTCATCATTGACTCTAGGTCTTTTCTTGTCTTTCTTTTTGGTAGAACTATCAGAAGGCCGTTGAGTTGCTGAGTTTGAATAGTCCATTGCTTCACCAGTCTAGCTATTTAATCCCATTTGTTCCAGAAAAGTGTCATTATCTGCAAGACCATGCAACAACACATCTTCCTCAGCATTCATAGCCTTAACTGCATCAGCAATGCCTTCAGCAAACTCTCATGTAGCTCAATCTTTGCCAAATATTTGAATCCATTCATCGAAATGTCGAAAGGTTTTGTTCCTCGGGTGTTTTGCATCGTTGTCCCTCTACAATGACCAACTAATCCCAATTAATATCTTTAACATAAGGTTAAAATACATATATGAAATAGTACGTAAATAACTAAAAGGAAATAACTTTACCCGAACATATGCCTCCCATACCCTATCACTCTCTACGTAAATTCTTTTTTCAGTATCATTCTATCCAAACCCATTAGTAGCAAGCATACCAGACACATAATTGTATTCACTTTGCTTGGTTCCCATTTTTTAAAAACAGTTTTCAGAAAATTCTACACTCTTATTTTCCGTGTTTTTTTGTTTTTACTGAATTTTTTTATTATTTTATGCAAATTTTTTACTTTTTAGACACTCCTAACATAAATACACCTAAAAAGTAAAAAAATTGTAAAAAAATCTTTTAAAAATTCACTAAATACCAAAAATACAAAAAAAAAAATACAAGAATTTAGTACATTTTTTGTATTTTTATGTATTTCTTAATTTTTTTAAAAAAAATTTCACAATTTTTTTACTTTTTAGACACATCTAAGTAAGGTGTATCTAAAAAAGTAAAAAAAAAATGTTTAAAATTTTAAAAATATTCACTAAAAACAAAAAAATACGAAAATCAAAAAACTCAGTTTTTAAAAAACTTAATCCAGAAAACTCAAACCAAACACACTAATTGTTTCTTCCATATTTTAATCTTTGATTCGATATGGAGAGAGCCACGTAAATCTGTCCTGGGTAACAACTCTGCCATTTTATTCTTCAATTTCATAAGATAGCCTGCCTTGAAAGAATTGTCAACTTTCATTCCATCATTCACAATGAACAACAAGGCTGAAATTAGACAGTCCCCTTCACGTGGGCTCCATATTCGCCTTTGTTTTAATGAATCAACCTTGTCATTCTTTTTCTTACGAGAACTGGATACCTTATTATCCATGCCTACAGTAATAACTGAACATTTCATATGCATTACCATAAAATATAAATAACTCACAAACATATATATCATAATACCAACCATTGCAAATATAATTCAACATCCACAATGTCAATTATTCATAAACGTACGTAGCAATGATACATCACAAATTTAAATGGTTTAACAACAAAGCAAAGTAGAAACACAAAGCTATCTTTATCCAGCCCCTCCATTAGCCAACCAATTGTTGTACAATTGCATTGCAAATGTATCCTGCCACTCAGTCCACTCGTTAGATGTCTCAACAGTCTCAATAAAATTATCTCCCATTGGGGGTTGATTTTCTAAGGCATCCTTTAAGTCTGAATCATCCTCTAGAGGGTCAACTACCATCTCTTGTCAAATGAAGTTGTGTAACAAGCAACATGCTGTGATAATTTGATTTTGGGTTCTAATGGGATAGTATGATGCACTGTGAAGTATAGCCCATCTCATTTTCAACATTCCAAAACACTTTTCTATGATATTTCTGGCTGATGCATGTTTCATGTTGAAATATTCTTGGTAATTATTAGGCGTTGCTCCTTCTCTCCAAATAGACAAATGGTATCGCTGACCACGGTACGGTGCTAAGAATCCTTTCCCATTTGTATACCCCGCATCCACTAGGTAATAGTAACCTGTGCGTGGAATGTTATGCATTAGATTAAATTTTTATTCATGAATTTAAGAAAAATTAAATACTTTTTTATTACCATTTGGGATCCTTAAGCCATTGGATCGATTGATTGCATCTCTCAAAACCCTAGAGTCGGCCGCTGACCCTTTCTACCTCGGCAACACATATATGAAATTCATGTCTTGGGAGCAAACTCCCAAAACATTAGTAGCAATCTCTTCTTTTCTTCTCCTATACCTTGCTTGATGAACCACAGGTACACGAACTTCAATATAGGTGTCATCAAGTGCTCCAAGACAATTCTAAACAAACCAATTCAATAGACATTATAAGAGTTATGATTTTTGTTTTTGGTAAAAAAGATTTAATAAAACAAAAAAAAAAGTAATGTAGTGTTACCAAATTTTTACAAATTCATTAGCTAGAAGCAATTCCACCTTAGATCGGTGCTTGCTTCAGTTATAGGATTTGGTGTAACGAGTAAATTGGCTTGCAGACGCAACACAGCCTTTAAGACATCATTGAAATATTGACTAACAGTCTCTCCAGACCTATAGAAATTGAACTTAACATTTCGTATTTTCAAGTGTTTTGCCAAGATGAAGAGGAAAAAGGCCACCTTCTCTTCTAAAGTGACATATTTTGAATGCCCTAACCCACCTATTGTATGAACCATATTGCACAAGGTCATAAAAGCACGCCGATCCATACTGAGTTGTTCAACACATGTTATGTCACTCTCTCTCACTAAACGGTTAATATAGTCCATTTGTTTTTACAATCGATTGGGCCCTCTAATAAGGTTATGGCGATACTTAGATAAATACCTTTTCAAGACAACCTCAATGACAACAAAAGCTATGGCGCATAAGGCATGTAGTTCTTGCATTACAGCTTGCAACATTACGTATAATTCAAGCTCATCGTTATTCTCATCATCAAAATCATTGATATTCTTATCCATCTCTATATACAAGAAAATATTTAAAATTACAAATAAATTAAGTAAAGGAGAAAATATAACGGCAAATCATAATCAATTTACTAAATAATTAGTTACACTCAACAGATGTTTACAATTCACAAAAAAAGTTATGAACAATAGAACAATAGAACAATTAATTACACTCCACACATGTTTACAATCCAAAATAAAATAAAATAAAATAAAAAATTGCACAATAGAACAATTAATTACACTCAACAGATGTTTACGATCCACCCAAAAAAAAAATGAGCAATAGAACAATTAATTACACGCAACAGATGTTTACAATCCAAAAAAAAATTAAAAAATATGAACAATAGAACAATTAATTGCACTCAACAGATGTTTACAATCCAGAAAAAAATGTTTTCAATTTCTATCATTTTTGGACAAGTGTGTATGGGTCCAAAAAACAACTACTTGCTTTTTTTGTTGCATGTCTTACCATTGTCTTTTTCTTTTCTTTTTCTTATTTGAACAAAATGAAACTGTGGACTAGTCTGTGTAGGTTCAAAAAAAAGTGAATTCAATTGTGTTTTTCAACATCCAAATCCGTGGACTAGTCTATGTAGGTTCAAAAAAAAAAAAAAAAAAAAAAAAAAACTACTTGTTTCTTTTGCTGCATGTCTTACCGTTGTGTTTTTGAGATTCTATCAAGCTTCATCTTAACTTTCTTTTTTCTTTTCTCTGCTTTTGTCATATTCTAACAAATCTGTATCATTTAGATTTTAACTAATGTTTTGAAATATAACTATACAAAAAAAGGCACTCCACTTATAAAATGTCAAGAGTACTAATGAATCCTTGTTTAGGGATGGTGTCCCAAATATGGAAAAAAACAGAGCATGGATTTTTCTTTGTATAAACAAAAAACAAAGCAAAAAAAAAAAAAGAAAAGGTTACAGATCTGAACTGAATGGATTTTTCTTTGTATACTTG